CTCCGTGTCTATTACTGGTAGCTACTGGGAAAGGTTCTCTGTATGCATCGGTGTTTGCTCCCTAGAGATCTGAAAGCTGAGTGTATAGGAAAAAGTAAAAGTAAAGTTTAAGTGAAGAAAAGTTAAAGGAAAGTCTGAGTGTCATAACAAACTGGAGTGAAACAGTGAACATATATGGTATTGAGATAAACAAGAGTTACAAAGTTACATGAAAAGATCCCTGACAGTGAGGGAGAAGATTGTGTGTGATACCAAAGCAATTGTTCATCATTTACACATTACTAGTTACATTGTATCACCCTCTTATTTGGTATTTATTTCAATAAATCCTCTTTTATTTGGTATTTGGTATTTATTTCAATAAATCCTCCAAGTTTATACCAGCTCTGAATGAAATACTTCCCAGGACCACATAGTTCCTCGTAAGCCTTAAACTCGGTCTACCAAACTAGTAAGAGCAAAAGTAAAAGCATAAAGGTTTGGAAATCCTTAAAATTTCCTGGTGGCAGCAGAATCTACCCTGTTAAACAAAATAAAGAGAACTTTTAAAGGGAAACTAGTCCTCCCCAATAAGGAGGACGTCACACACCCCATGACATGTTTATGGTCTACCAAGTTTAAAGCAACCTCCGCACTGAGACTGTATCTGCTGTATGGCCCACACAAACTTTTTTCTTGCAAGTGCTCCCCGGGTATTAGCTGAGCTTCCTAGTAAGTAACTATATTCCTTTTAACATATTTATTATGCAACTTTAAATTAATTTTTGTTAATTATTTCTTCTTATTTGTTTGTATTATTGTTGTTATATAAAATAAATAAAAATTAAGTATTAAATAAATGCCCTCTTGCTTTCCTGCCCTTCCTTATTAGGCAGGAAAGGAATGCTTGCCTCTTAGGCACCAGCCTCTCCGTAGCGCGTGCCTGGCATGCTCGCACCACCTTCATGCTGGGAAAAGGCTTCTTAGGCAGAGAGCCTATGTTGGGGGGAGGGGGGGAGATGATGACTGTGTGTGCTTGATGATTACCCACCTCGGGTCCCAGGAGGCTTAGGAGAATAATGTGGGCATGTAAATACTGTACCTAAATAAACACACAAGCATCGTGTTGCCTTGACGCAGAGGAAGAAAGCACAGCCCATCCATCCCGCTCAAGGACAGCGCCTTGCTGCCACTGTGTGCAGTCCTGCTTGTTAGCCAAATTGCCTTAATTTCTTAATTAATATGGGGTAAGTTATGATTATTAATTGGCAATAGGCAAATTAGGGAGCAAACATCAATTTCTGCCGGTTCAGGACACGTTCCTTATATCCAATTCTCCCCTCCCTTTCTTCCATTGGAACGGTTCACTCAGCGAGGACAGGTAACTATTGCCCAAACAACAAATACACTGCTAATGCGAATGTGCTTATTATCTCTCTTTATTTCCTAGAATCTGTATAAAAGTGTGTGCCTTTGTGTATTGTTTGAATGATAAGTCTCCTTCAGTAAAAGACATCATTTTATACTGAATCCAGTCTGCGTGTCTATTACTGGTAGCTACTGGGAAAGGTTCTCTGTATGCATCGGTGTTTGCTCCCTAATTTGCCTATTGCCAATGAATAATCATAACTTCCCCCATATTAATTAAGAAATTAAGTCAATTTGGCTAACATGCTCCCCCTTAGGTGCCTTCCTTCTTTCTCAAACCTGAACTTTCATGGACATGGCACAGCCCAACTTGCTTTCACACTGTTTCTAAGGATGTTCTGAGGAAGGAGGTGGCGGCTACTTCCTCTCTGGAGGACACAGCCTTGCCAACCTCTAGTGACAGTCACAAGTAAAAAGCACAAGGATAAAGGCAGACCAAGTTGCTCCTCCACTGAGGGTCCAGTGACAGGGACAGACAGAGCTGGCAAGATCCCCCCCCCCGGTTTCCCCTGGCACAGGTGACACACAGCTTTGACCTGACTCCCCTCCCAATTCATCATTTTTTCAAGTGCCTGAAAAAACTGTGGCCCTCAGACTGTGTCTCAAATGACTGTGGGAAAGTAAAAGAGAATGGTCCAGATGGAACCTTTCAGTCAGCCATCTCCGCCCTATAGCACAATGGACTTCAGACCTGTCCAAAGTTTAATTCCACATTCTGAAGCTTACTTCCACATTCTGATCAGGCCTCTCCATTGCTGTTTTCTGTGGGTTGCCTATGTAGACAGCTATCAGCAGCGCAGAACACTGGCCTCTTGGTGTATGTTTACCAAGGTATTGGTGGTTCTTATTGCTCGTCTCAACTAACACAGCACAGGTTACCTTCCCCTATCTGAACCCTCTTTTCCTTTGCCTGTTCTTCAGGACAGACTAAAAAAAGCATGAGTGGTAATCTCTTCAGAAGAGCAATCTGAAACCCTCCTTATCTCCTCTCCATCTTGTAGCAGCCAATGATATCACGTTGGAAATATTTTTCATTCCCAGGAATGCTGCAAGAAGAACCAGTCCCTGGTATACAGCACAGGCCTGAATGTTTAGAGGATCTAATGATATTGGCACAACTGCTGGGTATGTCAATCTTTTAGACAGCTGCTGGGTATGTTAATCTTTTACCAAGATTTCACCAAGTTATACAGGGGCAGGATTAAGATATGGATATCGGCAAACCACCCTTGGTTTTGTGTGTGTGTGTCTCTTTAAAAGTTTGGTTGCATGGCTGTGGTAGATAGACTAGAGTGGTTGAGAGAGGCAAGTGTGGTATGATTGGTGGTTGAAAGAGAGGGGGAGGGGTTTTGGAAGTGAATCTGGGTGGATGAGTATGTGAGTCAGTCAGGAGTTTCAGTTACAAGTTGACAGTTGATGTAGACAAGCAGTTCTGTGTTGAAGCAGTTAGAAGCGGACAGCTGAGGTTGTTCAGTGAGAAAGAGATCTGAAAGCTGAGTGTATAGGAAAAAGTAAAAGTAAAGTTTAAGTGAAGAAAAGTTAAAGGAAAGTCTGAGTGTCATAACAAACTGGAGTGAAACAGTGAACATATATGGTATTGAGATAAACAAGAGTTACAAAGTTACATGAAAAGATCCCTGACAGTGAGGGAGAAGATTGTGTGTGATACCAAAGCAATTGTTCATCATTTACACATTACTAGTTACATTGTATCACCCTCTTATTTGGTATTTATTTCAATAAATCCTCTTTTATTTGGTATTTGGTATTTATTTCAATAAATCCTCCAAGTTTATACCAGCTCTGAATGAAATACTTCCCAGGACCACATAGTTCCTCGTAAGCCTTAAACTCGGTCTACCAAACTAGTAAGAGCAAAAGTAAAAGCATAAAGGTTTGGAAATCCTTAAAATTTCCTGGTGGCAGCAGAATCTACCCTGTTAAACAAAATAAAGAGAACTTTTAAAGGGAAACTAGTCCTCCCCAATAAGGAGGACGTCACACACCCCATGACATGTTTATGGTCTACCAAGTTTAAAGCAACCTCCGCACTGAGACTGTATCTGCTGTATGGCCCACACAAACTTTTTTCTTGCAAGTGCTCCCCGGGTATTAGCTGAGCTTCCTAGTAAGTAACTATATTCCTTTTAACATATTTATTATGCAACTTTAAATGCTCTTTTTTGCTATTTCATTGTATATATATCTGTTATATACAAATTTCATCAATTCATAAGCTCAAAGTGCAATCTCTGATTGCAAAGCTTCAAAGTATAACCAGTCAACAACCCCGATTACAAAACTTCAAAGCATAATCCAACAATTCCTCAATATACAATATCCTGTGGACCAAACTAAATGCAAGGCCACTTCAGAGACACCTCTTTACAAATACTGCCGAGCTAAACACCCATTTCAGTGTCAGGAAATGCTCGATGTGATTGATAGACAAACTGCAAAAGCTGCAGATTCATCTGTCTCCATTTCTTTGAGGCAGATGTAAAACAATGCTAAGCAAGGGCCATGACTTCTGAGAGGGAAAAGTGGGGCAGGCCAGGAAGAATGGACAGCAAAGCAGCATTTATCGGTCAGTCTCAAAGGAAAGAATCTCACCGAATTCAATGAAAGAGTAGGGTCTCGACACTGTGGGCACCTTCTTTCCATGTTGTTCATCAAATTCTGAGTGCAAATCCTCCAGGTAAGCAAAGGCCAGCTTTTTGGGGAAGGCAGCTTCACACAGAACCAGATAACATACGCCTTTCTCAATGACATAACTGCAGGAAAAGAAAGATTAAGCTAATATTGGTCTTTACACAGATGATTCCAAATAGTGCCCTCTAAATATTCCTTGAAGAAATAGAACAGCCTTTCTTTCCAACAGCCAGCATTCCATAGCAATACCACGCATTGTTTGAGAAGCTCCATTATGATTCATGCGTGGTGGTGGAAAGTGCTGCTGAGTCACAGCCGACTTAAGGTGACCCCGAAGGATTTTTTTTCTTTTTGCATTTTGTGTGTGCGCCCATGCCTGGAAGTCATGGGGACTCCTCGTGGGGCACGGAGGACGTTAAGGGAAGTGGCTTGATAGCCTGGCTGTGCCTTCCAGCCCTGGTATTCTTTGGAGGTTTCCCATCCAACTACTGCTTAGCTTCCGAGATCTGACTTGCTTGAACTATCCAGGTCAGGGCACCCCATAGGGGCTTTCAAGGCAAGGGACGTTCAGAAGTGGCCGTCATTGACTGCCTCTGTATATCAGCCCTGGTCTTCCTTGGTGGTTTCTCATCCAAATATTAACCAGGGGATGAGATTGGGCTAGCTTGGGCCATCCAGGTCAGGGTGGGTGGTGCGTATGTCCATACAACTTTACTTCTTCATTGATTATTCTCAGGGCTATTTTTGGGCAGGAACGCACAGGAACGGAGTTCCGTCTGGCTCCCAAAGTTGGCCACGCCCAGCAGGAACTCATTAGCATAATAGGCCACACCCAACAGCAGAAACCCATTAGGATTGGCTACAGTAGGGGTGTGTGGCCTAACATGCAAAGGAGTTCCTGCTACAAAAAAGGCCCTGGGTTTTGACAACAAACAAGGTAAATAGAATAGCAAGCAAAAGGTGGGTGTGGCTGGATGAGCACACTTCTGGTAACATGGGGGTGCGGCCTAATGAGCTGTGCTGTCAGAGGTGTGGCCCAATATGCTAATGTGTTCCTGCTGTTGGGTGTGGCCTATTATGCTAATGAGTTCCTGCTGGGCTTTTTCTACAAAAAGAGCCCTGATTATTCTACTTATCCTTATACTCTCTTCCTAAATGCTTCTTTAAAGATCAACTTATGTGAAGTGTTTTAGGCTGGATCTAATTGGTTATTAACAAAAATCTGCCACTTGAATTTAGTTAGGGTAACACAAAATAATCAGTCCATTCTTTTTCCTAGGGTACCGATGTCTGCCGAACTGCCATAACCTCACTATCTGCCTAAGATCCAGAGGCAACCATGTTCTTGTTAACCATAGCAAGAAGAGGTGGTTAAACTAGTTATGAGAACTGTTAATGCATACCAGGGCATCACCGTAGCTTCAAATTCTAGCTGTATCATCGCCACGTCTACCTGCCAGTGAGATCCTGTAATACCTTCCCAAGCTTACTCTTCACCTGAGAAAGTGGGTGGGCTCCATAGGGACTTTTGTTATTATAGTTCCTTCTTAGATAAACATCAAGTTAATTCTTCATAAAGTAATACTGACAACTGCCCAATGCAATAAATGGACATACAGGATTAAGACTCAGGAATCTGATGTTCCAGATAAAGTGAACAATGGAACCTTGGCTCAATACCAGCAAAGAAAGAAAAAATGAAATACACAAACACAATGTTCTTCCTCAAAATTCCCATGGAAGCAACAGCACCACACAGCACCTTTCCCAGAGTCTGAGGGGGTCAACTGTCAAAGCTGGATAAATAAGAAATGATTCCTGCCAGGCCCAAGATCCTCAAACAGTCTGCACTGGCATGAATCCTGAATGGAAGAAATGTGGACTAGATACGCCTGCTACCCTTTTGACTGAGCTGAAGCTCTGAAGAGAAAAGGGAACATTTTAGTTCAGGGTTCTGAACCTGACAGAACTTAAGTGTGTGGCTGAACACTGTGGGTCACGAAGTCTATTTTGCTTTGGGAAAGCCCTGCTGCCTTACAAAGACAGAATTCTAAATTATGGAAAACACAGAAGTTCACATTTCTTATTTCATAGGTGCCAACTGTGTGCTTGAACTTACACATTACCTATTAAATACCATTCCCAACTTTCATATTGGATGAAAAAACTACACATAAAGAGTCCCCCCCAAAAGTGATCAAGGTAGGGAAAACTGAAATTTATGCAAGATAATCAAACATCTTACAGTATTTCCTTAAAGTATCTCCCTGATGCCCACTCTCCCATTTCCACCACCCCATTATTCATTCGCACTGGGACAGCATACAAGGGACAAAATGCACAGCCTCAGCCATCTGGCCATAAAGGACTGGCTGACCAGATTAAGAGCCCTGGATGGGCCGTATTTTTGACACTCCTGCTTTAAGCTGTCTGCTGCATTCCACTTCCATTAAAGTATCTCCTAAATCAGGTGTATCTTCTAAACCATTAGGGCTTCCGTGGGGTATAATGCCACAGAGTCCACCTTCCAACATGGTTGTGGATTAACTGGGGGAAGTCGGTTTTTAGGAGAAATGGACAGAGGCAGGGTACAGTTTGGTCCTTTCATTGTCCTTGCCGATGCCTTCCATACAATGAAAGTATCTCCTAAACTATTAAGATTCCCTCTCCGCCCGCTTCCCATGCCCCGCTTACTGGAAAGCCATGGCTCCTGCTTCCAAGGTGCACCTGGTAGGGGACTGCTCATTTAGCTTCCGGAACAACTGCTTGGCTTGGCTCTGGTACTGCTGCAAGTCACGGCCTGACTGGAGAAGAACACAACAACCCCTTAGCGACTTTCTACATGGGGGGTGGGAGGGTGG